TATGTGAGATGATGCTCACATTTAACACAGCAAGCTAAAGTAATGATGGGGTAATCTTTCAGATTAATGATGGAGATAATCTGTCCAATTACAAAATATTAGAAAACAAAGCACTAGAGCCGATCCGGTGGCCGAGATTGCTAAGAGTAGTGCCGTAGCGATCTCGGACCGAAGGAACGCGGGTTCGAGTCCCGCCTCGGGCATGATTGTATTGTGTTCGTCCTTTTACCCCCTACCATCATATCGTGACATCCTCACAGTTACCACACCGTTACAAGCAATAGTGATCGCTAATGACCAACACGTTGATGCGACCTTAAGTAACAAAAAAGCACTAGAGACGTTCGAAACGAAGGAACGATGCCTGAAGGAATATGGCAAAAAAAACAACAACAAAACATTATAATGACAACCATCAAGAAGAAGGACGAGAAAAATGCCAACTCTTGAGTGGGAAAAATACATCAAAAAGGCCATAGTGGACAGTAGTTTAAGATCTGAGATTAGGAAAAACGAGGTCAGTGGAGGTCGAAAACGGCGAAGTCCTGAAGGGGAAATGTCGAAGAATTACAATTAAAATTATCGAAGGATTCCACATATCTATAACTTTCGGATTTTCCTATTTTACACTTCAAATTATTAAATTATGAATGTTATGAATCTATCCTATCAAATCCAACATGACCTTATTTACATCACTACATATTAATGAAACTTACAGTCTCACATTTTCTTATCTAAGAATTCAGCTCTTCGCACATAATTCGAATGTTGAGCTCAAAGTTGAATCGGTAATTTTAAAAGGGGAAATAAGTCCAGTTGTTTGAAAAAGGAGTTGAGATATACATTTTCTTTGGTATTCTTCAAGCTATAGATCAGTGTAAAAATGAAACTTGTCAAGCTTAAAGTATGTGTTCTATTACGAACTAAAAATTCTAATGACTGAAAAAGAGAAATAAGTCCAGTACTAGTTTCCAGTTCTCACTCAGAAGAATTAGTATTGTCAGCTGGGAAACGCGTAAATGTTTAATGAAAACAGTAATAGACACAGAGGACATCATAGACCTCAGTACCTGGTAGTAGAACTAGTTTAATAAGACAACCAATTCTCTTGCTTGTCCTGGCAGTTCTCATTGTGTATCTGGTGTGATCCTTTCTAAGTAAAGTAGGTAAGGAATGATAGAGAATATTTTGGATACCTCGGGACACGTGAGTGTTGATGTGCTTATCAAATACTCATTCACGTTGACAAAAGAGAAGACTCGTGCAGATGTGTCTTTCAAGAACGTTTATGGCTCATCTGTTCCTCTAATCAACAGAAAGAAAATAACCGATGTTCAACAAATAGTAAAATACATCCCATAGGAATATCTCCATTTCCAGAAACTTTTGACATATCTACAGACTCAAGTGAAATCGATGATGAGTAGTTGCTAATATTATAAATTTAGCAATAAAAATTGTTATAATAAGTCTAGAGTATAAAAACGGTTCTGTATATCACAGAAATGAAACTTTGAAGTTGTAGAGTAGCTCAAGCAATCAATAACTACTAATTCTACAACTTTTGAGAAAAACATAAAAGTTCCACATGCCAATCGTGGATGTTATTAAGCTTTTTTTTGTTTTTCACAGAACTATGGAAAATGAATTATTTTCCTTGTAAAATCACCGATTCAATTATGTGGAAAAGTCTTTGCCTGAATTTGTTCAATGTTTCCAAATGGCTCCACCTCCCTCCGCTGCCCGCTCTCAGAATATTGTCCACTGGCGAGCAACGCTCTCGATATATACCCTCCAGAGCATAGCTCCCTGGAGAGGGTACATATATACCGCCCACGTTAAATTTGCTACTATTGATATCCCTTTTCTAGAAAATGGTTGACTTGAAAATTTTAATATTTCACATAGTTAAAGATAAAACTTTGTTATTATTTTGACCTTCTTTGAGTTTTATTCGACTTTTTTGAGTTGATTTTGACCTTTATTTAGTTTTTTCTTTCAATTGTAACTTTTGCCCTAATTTTTTCACAAATTTTGAAAAAAATTGTTTTTTAGCATTTTTATTGTTGAAGAATTTTATATAAAATGTCCATTTATTTCCAATGTTATAAAGAATGTATCCTGTACGTTTCAATATATTGTGAATAATAGTTTCTGAGAATAATAGTTCTATTTAACCAAAAAACGAAAATCGATAATTTGACCCATTTCATGGTACCATCTGTCCTTAAATGGAAACCAGCCTTAACTGTTATGTTTAATTCAAAGTATCTTTAGGATTCATATGCTGTCTGAAAATTTATATTCTTCCCCAATCTTCTATAGAGAAACATTATTTAATTTGTTATGGGGTATTTTTCTGGACGAGCATGTTAGCGATGAATTGTGGAGGGAGTATTGTTTTGTTACTGGGTATTTAATGCGTTGTCATTTTATACGCATCCCATGCGTTTACAGGTGAATTTATTATGTCATTTCCTTCTTCTTTTACTTCAACGAATGTGGGAGAGTAATTCTAAATTCATTGGCATTCTGATAATTAACAGTTCCATAAATAAATAAAGTTTACTTGACAAGTACTTTGCCGTTCTGCATTGACTGCTGTTGATATTGTAAATGAGACGAGGATTAGTAATGATTTTAATTATTTTTTTTCATTTAAGTAACATATTTGACGAAAATGAAACAGATCCCAATGTATACATATGTCATGCAGTCATACTCTGCATGCATTTTGTGCATGCATTTGTACTTCTGTCGCGATATAGTTCAACCAATACACAATGTCTTCGGCGCTAATACACTCAGTCTGTTCAAGAATTCAATTCATCCGCCTAAATGGTGTTTTAATATTGGCATGATATAATTTATGACATGAAAAGTAATAAAACTGCAAAGAAACATGCTGTTTTGGAAGTATTTCCCAATTAAATTAGCTCTGTTCAAGAATGCTTTGCAGAAGTTCATCAGTGTGGTTTCTGGTGCTAATTTTCTGCGAACAGATCCCGTTAGTTTAGGTAAGCTCCGAGGTTTTGCTTCAATGACAACTAATATTACAACTTACCCTTCTTCATTCCTACAATTTACTAGATATTATAATGTTATGTTCAATTTAGCATTCTGGAATGTTGCTCTGTGCCTATATTACTAATTGCGCGGAACTCAGTATGTTTTATTCATTCTAATTAACCGTACGGACAAGGGTAAGAAAAGAAAGATTGCGCGCGGCCCGTGACCCCTGTGCACATCTTTCCTTCCTCTTCCTTGTCCTTGATGATTCACCCCTTACTTACACTAATATGCCCTACTCTACCATAAACGCCGAGAGATCAGTCGTAGCTTAGAGTTTCTCCCGGCTAGGGCGGTGGGAGATACCTTGTTTGGGACTAGCCACCGTATATTTCAGGGCCAATATCGCCGTCCAGAGGGGGACGATCATAGCCACCTCCCGCAATGAAAATATGCGCTACTCTTATGGGACAGATGCCCTTAGCAGTCGTTCCGTCCGGAATCAGTAATCAATGCAATGAGCGCCTCACCTCGACGCGCGCCAGCTGCTCCTGCTCTTGCATGTCGAGCACGCGCGTGCGCAGCTCCTGCACCAGCTTGCGCGACGGTGGGTCGAGGCCGTGCGTGCTGCGCAGCTCCATGATCAGCTCTCGGCAGCGCCGCAGCCCCTGGTGCATCTGCGCAGCGCCGCACACACATTTGCGAAAATCCATCGCGAGTTAAATATTCTGCTACTAAATGAACACATTAATGAAATCAGGGGTTCTGCAAAATAGCACAGAAATTTCTCGCATTAGTTACTTTCTAATTTCTTTAATTTAGGCTAGCTTTTAAGTATATTTTAGAAAAAATGGAAAGTGTTGATGATTGCTGAAGTGAAACATTTCCAAAAATTAAAATATCCGTTTCGAATTCATCATTCAGATTTATCGGGGAATATAAATTTTGCTGAAAATTTCGCTTAAGCCGTTAGTGTTTATCAAAGACAGACATATTACCATAAACCAATTTTGCGGAATCAACGACTCACAAACCGGGGATTCTGACATCACAGTATGTTAGACGTTTAGCGAAATAAATTACTACGTATATGAACAAGAATTATCCCCCTTTTGGTAACTAGTATCTTTAATACGAATGTTTCTGCCAAAAAATCGCAATTTATTTTCGGTAATGATTACAACGAATAACATATAGTGTAGCCTGTGACGTTTTACAAAACCTGTAATGATATATAGTACCAAAAAAATTTTAATTTCCCCTCCCAAAATTTGTCTCTGAATCCGTCCCGTTATGTACCATATCTAACCAAATCTTTACTCTTTATCCTGTTCCACAATCTTTAATCTAGGTCGTTGTGGTTCATGGCGCCGTTTTAAATCAAGGTTTTGCAAGGACTAGCTTACACCGCCGTAACATCTGTTTTCACCTTTTCTAGCGCTACCTTAACTTCCATCGTTACACTCCAGATTAACCCTTGAATGCGGAAGTAAACCTCAAAATATAGACAATGATCACGAGTAGAAAACAGTTTTTCTTTCCATATGGATGGCCGGCCATATCAAAAATGTTAAAATGTAAAATTTGTTTTTAAATCCAGTCGAGACAGAAAGTCGTATGAGACGAAATAGACACAAAATGACAATACGAAAACCATTTCATCCTGTCTTGATTTATTTATTTTCTTCAAAAACGTTAAAAACTCGAAAATAAAAGAAAAGAAAAGGAGGAAAAGAAAGAAAAGAAAGAAAAGAAAAGGAGGAAAAAAGAAAAGAAATGGAGGAAAAAAGAAAAGAAAGGAAAGAAAAAAGAAAGGAAAGGTAAGAAAAAAAGAAAGGAAAGGAAAGAAAAAAAGAAAAGAAAGGAAAGAAAAAAGAAAGGAAAGGAAAGAAAAAAAAGAAAGGAAAGAAAAGAAAAAAAAGTAAAGAAAAGAAAGAAAAGGAGGAAAAAAGAAAAGAAAGGAAAGAAAGAAAGGTGTGGCTCCTCACCAGGCACTGCACGGCGCGGCCCTTGATGATCTTCTGCAGGAAGACGGACGACTGGTAGATCTCCTCGTCCTTGTCCGAGACGCCTTCCTGCGAGGGCGTGGAGGGCGGGCTGCTCTCCTGGTAGATGCGCCGCACCAGCCCCAGCCCGCCAGCACCACTCGACTCTCGCTGGCCTACACACATTCACACGCACCGCACGCGCGCGCTCTTGTTGCCTTGCATTGAATCCAAGATTTGTGTTAAGCGCCCATTGCTATGGCTATTGGAAGGCATGTTATACATCGAAAGGCTGCTGCAGTTCCTGTCAGGAGGGCAATTCTAGCGAACGGTTGCCCTCATTGGTAGTTTTTCGTAGTTTCTCCGATCAACACCAGTGAATGCCGAAGCAATGCCCACAAGGGCCTCGGACCGCGCGAGATCTTTCTTTCCTCTTCCTAGTCTTTCCCTCACCCCTTACACTACGCACACGTGCCGAAAGACCTTGCAGAGATTCCGTCCTCCTAGAATCTCCGCCAGCGGGACACCCGCTCCAACCAGAATAACCTCCCGTCATGTGTGAAAGCATAGTATATGTACTTGTTTGTAATCGGAAAGGAGAGCATAGAACAGGGAACAAACGATAGAGCGCAGTCCGTGGTCCGTTCATTCGCCAGCATTTGCCTGGTATTAATTTGAGAAACGGCAGAGAACTACTAATTAAAGCTGGCAGCTCCTTTGATTAGTGGTTTTACGTGTTAGTTTAAGTACCACCAAAATCAAAATAACCGTTTCACATTCAGGACTTTCAGATCCTTTAAATCTTGGATTGTGACTACACAGCGTGTTAGTGCAATAAACGTACTATTAATAGGAACAAGATTGATCCTATTTTTGGTTTCTAGGGCCCAGCAGGTGGAGTTCTTCTGTCGAAACATCGCTGTATTCCGGTGCACGATTACAATACTTAATCTTATCACGAAGTACGAGCAAGAGAGTAGAATGAATGAAAATCACTGAAAATTGCATTAGCTGGCCGGAACTTATAATACAATGCTGTGAAGCTGTCAATAGTTTATTACAGAAAGGTCGGGGTTTTGCGTTGTAATCCTGATTTCGCAGGTGCGATTTCGCGCTTTAGAAGTTCTCAGAACCGAAACAAACATTCCCTTCGAAATCCCTATGATTGGCGCGCTCGCTTTTAATCTCTTCGATTCGCAACGGAGCAAGACACCGACCAAAACACGTAAGGACGTTTGAAAAACGTGATTTCATCGGGGATAAATATAGAGCGGATCTTGCATTAGCAGTTGGCAGACGTTGAAAATACGTTTTCGTTCGCATTTGAAGCAGCACCTGTTGATTCTGAATCATGTCAGTCATAAGTTAGAGGAATTAATCATTCGTTTGCTAATGAGGTCAGAGCGCTTTTGCCTTGATTAGCGAAGTTTCTCTCCGCGAAACCGTGTCTTTGACTCGAGGCCTTCGCGCCCAGCGGTGGAACGACGCTCCTTGGCGTAGAGACAACTGGGAGGGTGGGAACGCGCGTGCCATCACGGATGGGTTGCCAGCCCATCGCAGCCCGCGGACACCAGGAACTCCCAGCTTCTTCACCGTCATTTGAAGACGAGACGTACAGACCGGTCTCTGATTACCGTCTTTAGGTCGATAACATCAAATGACAGACGCGTTTGTGGTTTGTTTACCAAAGCGATATCAGAGGATTATAACTCTGTCCTAGCTCCGTCTGTGATGACAGAGGTTTATAAGTCCATTATTTGTGATATCGTCTGTGTGTAGCTCGTTTTAAAGTATCACCTTCTTGTAAGAATAATTTATAAATTAAAATATTTTTTCTATTAATGTGATTACTCGTACGCTATCATTAGTTATAATTCATTTCTTTCAATTGTTTTTAACTGTTAAAATACAAAAGGGACACAGTTCGGTTCCTATGTTTGGTTGCAGTTAAGTGTAAGTACTAGAAGGTTTAAAAAAAATAATTAACCATAGCAATATTTGGATATCTGCAAATAGTCGTTTTTCCTAATTGTAGATACAATTTTGGAAAGTTTCCTATTTTGTATTTTTCAATTATATAAAATATACATTCATATTTCGCCTCTTTATAGAATACTAAGGAAAGATGGCAGTTTTTGAACGTTAATAACATATCATCGCCACAAACTCCTTGTATGTTGCTACTGAATAACAAAGTACTCTCCTTCCCCAGTTCGTCATCAAAAGGATTTAATGCCAAAACGTAGAAGTTCGCAGAGGTTGACATATTTGGGAAACCGTCTACGTTACAGGCACATTTAATTTTTTTACCTGATAGCTCATAAAACGAAATTATTTTGGATGTCATTTTCGGTTTTGGAAGGTTCCTTCGCCTGTAATTCGCATTATCAAAAACTTCGAGAAGTTGAATTTCAGTTGCAAGCTATTAGTATTTCCACTTTAAAAATAAATGATTTTAAAACGATATATTTTTTAGATTGCAAATTTGTTTGTGAATGGGTTCTCCTATAAGTTTTTTGGTGTTTCTGTTCCTTCAGATATTTAACCTACATACAACTTTCCGTTTCATCCAGCAAGGGAAGCCAATGTTTTATCTGCCGTCATAGAATTGAATTTTCACTTATTTTCCAAATTAACTTGTGTGTGAACATGCACTGAACATGGAGGAAACTTATTGAAGAACATATGGAGAAAATAAAGAGGAACATGTGTGGTAAATATTTAGAGAACATGTGTAGAGAAAATGCGGGGCAAGTACAATGCAGCATGCGTAAATTTCTTAGGGAATCTGATGGGGACTTGAGCGAAACGTGTCACAATACGCGTGGGAAACCTGCTGGTAGAATAAGAGCGAACTTTTGAGAAATTTGCAGGCCACTTGCATGCTGAGGACGAGTCGAAGCAACATTCGAAGAATTTCTGGGGGACATACAGTGACGAATGCAGAGGGCATTGGTCCCTAGTTACGTTTCTTTAAGTGCCATTCAAGAAAAGAAGATTACTTTGATTTCCTTTTTCATTTTTGGAGAGTTAGCGTTTTGGAGTGCAGCAATCAAAAGCAAGCACTGGTAGTCTAAAATTGAGTAAAACCTCGAGATCTATGCAATTGATATTATATTGACGCGTCATTAGGCCTGTCATGAGGCATTCAACATGCAGTTAAGAGGATGAACTTTCGAAGAAGTAATTCCATACAAAGTAATTTTCTCTCTTAAAACAATCTTTTCTAATTGCGGAATGTTACCACGAGTCCATTGATTGATTGATGAGTGTTTCCAGGATCATTAACTGTTAAGAACATTGCCCCCATGAGTGGAGTGCATGAGTTTTTCTCGGGAGGTGGGGGGTTATTCCCTAATGGGTCCTGAGATCCACCTGAGAACCAACCTGTCGGTTATTGGAATATTCCCCAATCAGGTATCTCGCACCAGCGGGGTACCGCCCTAGCCGGGGCATGGACTAAGTTCCCGACCGATCTCCCGACATGTGTAGTAGTGGTGTACATGGAAATGTGTGTGTAAGTAAGGGGTGAGGATAGAACAAGGAAGAGGAAAGCAAGATCGCGCTCGGTTCGAGGCCTGTTTGTTAGGGTACTGCTCCGACATTCACCTGGATTGTTGATCAGAGAAACCACGTAAAACTGCCGATCAGATCATCCCTCAGACTGTGAATGCAGTGGCATCACTTGAGCCACATATGCCTGTTTCGCACAGGTCCAGGAAAATTTGTTTTACTTCATTAAACTGAACATTTCTTTCTTCTAGAAAAATAACATTGATTGATTGCATATTTTCTAAACGGGCATGGCAATTGCTATGGTTATTAGTTCCGTAAGTGTAGTTGATGAAGACCAGCAGTATTATGGTAACAAGAAATTGTAAGTGCACTGCAAGAGAAATAAATAAATAAAGTTGCGAGTTATAATAAAAAAACAAATAAAAAAATTTAAGCTATTAATATTGTATTTTAAATTGTATTATTATTGTTATTGTGTAATTATGTGAAAACTGGAAAGATGTGATAATATTTCAAAACCTGGAAGTATATATAAGTGCAGTGCATGTTATATGGTGGCTGAGTTACACCGATGACCTAACGTCGGGTCGTGGGTGTTTCCCTCGCCAGGTGCCTTCCACTGCTCTACCCTATTCCAACTGGCATCTCTAACCTTCTAACACGTGTGGTAGTGTGCAAGTGTAAAGTTTGAGACGATGATGAGGAATGAAAGAGAGAGGACAGTAGTGTGTTTATTACGGTACTCCGTCAGGTTTTATGTGCTGGTGGGAGACACCAAGAAGCACTCCCGTCGAGAGCAGCCGGCCGCTAGAATTCCCCCAGTGGCTGAGTTCGACAGCTCGAGTGAAAATTCCGCCACTGACGGGATTCGAACCCAGAGACCTTCCGTTCAGAGACACCGACTCTAGCGTCAACCGGCCACACCCTGAGTTACAACAGCCGGTGGCTGGTTTTGGGGCGACATATTCTTAACATGGCTGTTTCCATGTTGTTGGCGGCGCGGGCGGTGGCGCCCTGCCAGGCGGTGGCGGCGCTGAGCAGCTGCGGCACTGGACATCCGGTGCGAGGCAGCGCGTCCCGGCGCCCACGCGCCCGCGCGCCCCTGGTAAATCCGGCGCTCACCTGGCGCTCTGCGGCCGCCAATGGCAAGGGGCCAACGAATGCAGCTCGTGCGCGCGCGCGGGCGGGTAAGCCGTAAGCCGGGGCGGTGGGGACGACATGAGGTTGCCGGCGAGGGCGGTGGGGCCGGGGCGGAGGGGCCGGGTGGCGGTCGGGGCCGGGGGCGGACGGGCCGGGGGCGGCGGGGCCGGGGCGGCGCGGGCCGGGCGCGGCCGCGGCCCGGCCGCGGCGGCCGCCGGTGCTGCGCGGGCCCGCGGGGTCGGCCGGGGCCGCGGGGCGGCGGGGCGGGGCGGCGCCGGGCCAGGGGCGTGGGCGGCGGAGCGCGCAGCCCGTGCGCGCGGAAACGCGAGAACCGTGCGGCGGATGGGGAGCCGGGGGAGGCGGGTAAAGGAGCTGTTCAATGAGCAGGTGGTGGCCCTCGACGCTCCCTTGAAGTGAGTCACAGTGGTCGCGGTGTAGGCAAGGAAGGTTGGGGATGAAAGAAGGGTCAAGGGAACAGCTTTGGCAAAGGGCGCAGAATCCATAACAGAAACACGTTCGAGGCACAAGGAGGGATTGTTGGAGGTAGGCAAGACATGGGTGGGAGCCAGGACAGTTACGAAGGTCAAGGCACAAAGAGCGCAGAATTAAATCTTAAAATTGCATTTAGAAGAACCGCCATGGAAATTCTAACACGCTTTCAACTCAATGTCCAAGCGCCTTCAATAACGTTTGTCGATAATAAGTACTTTCAAAAATACTTATTGTATCAGAAAATACTAATGACAAGAGCAAAGTAGCATTATCTTGAAATACATTTTCAAAGTTAGTTTCTGTCCTTTGAATTCTTAGACTACACTATCAAGAAGCTGAACAGCACAGTTACATTTTGCAGAATTATGTAGGACAAATTAGGATACGTCGAAGAACTCCCTAGGAGTGCGAAGCTATATTGGCGTGAGCTGTGGTAATCGATCCACTGGGCAAATGAGCGTGATCAATGGTGATACTCTCAATTCTTGTTCGCATGCAACGGGAAATTCTTTACGACAGCAAACTCCATATGTTGCGAAATCGCGGAGGAAGTAGAGAGGAGGAGGTGATGGCAGTGGGAGAAGCGGGGCGGAGGCGGGAAAGAGAAGGTGTCTTTGGAGGGGCAATGGAGGTGGAGGGGGACGACGCTGGGATGGAAGCTAGATGTAGGGATGATGGAGGCGGTGGTTTGATTATTTGTTTTGTGTTTCTGCGATCGTCTCTTATGATCATTTGTCCCGTAACCGTAGTTATATCTCGCAGGTGGCGGTGATCCTTCCTCCCAAAGATGTGAGATCAGGTGCCAACCCACGCTACCTGCAGGTATCGACGACGCCCCTGCCGGCACAAGCACCAAGTTCTCAAATGGTCTCCCGACGCCTATAGTGCCGTAATGCGTGTATGAGTAAGTGGGTTGAGGAGAATGCAATACGAGGTCGAAAGAATATCAAGCCAGGTCCGTGGCAAGCTTGTTACGGTTCTGTTCGGCATTCGCCTGATTTTGATGAGAGGACGGGTGGCAAAATACCATCAGAGATTAAATACAGTGGTACTTCAAGGTGACGGAGCTGGAAGGGAAGGAGATGGATTGACATCCAATCAGGAGCTCCAATACCGAAAACTTAAGCAGAAACGAAGCCCGCGATTAAATCACACTGTACCCCTTCTCCGTCCAGTCCATAACCTTGGAGTGCCACTATGTTTAACTCGGAATCTGTGTGCCTGTATGTTTCGTTCCAAAATAGGTCCTTCCGGTCGGTGACGCTGCAGCGAAAACAAATGTCATCACTGAGCCATCGCAGTCTGTGGAACTCGGCAATGGCGGGGGCGGGTGGCCTTTGAAGAAGCTGCTGAGTTTGCTTCCCTCGCGCGCCGTCGCTCTGCCCCCCCCGGAGACGAGCGGGGTCCGGCCGCCGCCGCCATGCGCTGCCGCCCCCACTCCACCCCCCACTCCGCACCCACACCCACACACAGTTCCACTTGATGCGGGAGGAATTACGCCACGCTCTCGTAAAAGATAAATGATTTACATCACAATTACATAGTTCATTCGTTTTCCTAACTTCTGCCATGGAACTGCAATGTTATAGCTCTACCAAACACTGTAATTCCTCACGTTGTATTGATTGAAAAGAGGTCAGGATGGTGTGTTGAAATTTAATATGATTAATTTTTATTAATACATGACGTTAGTAAGAAAATAATTAGAAATTTCTTATGAATAGATTCTTGGCACATCATGTTTCCTAGTTGATTGATTCATTATTTAGTGTTTCCAGGTGCGTCACATGATAAGGGCATGATTCCCGTAAGTATAGTGTATGTATTACCACGGCTAGTGACTGTATTCCTCCCACGCTTAATAGTGTGATCATGCGCCGATCTGTAAGTCGCATTGCATGGTTTCCCATCCAGGTATCTTCATCCGCGGTGCACCGTTCCAGCCAGGTGAAGCTAAGCTCCAGACTTGTCTCCCAACATGCGTAGTAGTAGTACTTGTAAGTAAGGGATGAGAGTATGTCAAGGAAGATGTAATAATTGCACTTGGTCTGTGGTCCCATTGGGTACTGCTCCCGTATTCGCCTAGTTTTGATCGGAGAAATCACGAAAAACTACTGATCAGATCGCTACTGATCGGTCGCTACAATTCTCCCCCTGACAGCGGTTAAATTCGATTCAGACATGTAGAGTGTCGAAAATCCTTCTTAAAATTATTTCTTTAAATATTTTTGAAGTTCACAATTGGCGAAATATTAAATTAGTTACCCTATTTCCTGCTTTTCATAGGAAAATATAAAAAGCATCGAAATAATGTTTTGTAATCTCGAAGAGACCTCTAATAATTTCTCATTAAATGCTACAAAATGGTAAATCTTAATTTTTATGCTATAAAATGCTATTGCCTTGTTTTTAAAATTAGATTTTTTTAAAAATTTAAAGTGCTAAATTCTATTATCACTAATTATTGCGGCGTTTTCTGAAGATACCATATTTTAAAATGTAACATGGACTAGACGGTTTATATTTTCCATCAATTAGTATTTAAAGTGTTTCTTACAGCCTACACCGATACGAATTTTCATATAGACAACGCATTCAATTAATTTATTTGCAAAATTCATATAATTCGGAAAAGGTCAAAGACAGGCGAAGAATAAAAGAAAGAAATTAAAAAAGTGGAAAGCAATGATCTCACAGGAATAATCCACCTACTGTGCGAGATAAATCACTCATTCAAAAGGAACACTTCGCATATTAATATTAAATCCTCATAACCTGTCAACACGATCGTTATTTGGTCACAGCTGGTGCTGCGCACTTGAGTAAATAGGTCTGCAATTAATGTTTTCCGGTTGCCCTTGGCAAGAATCTCTCTGCTTTCGTTATCCGAATCCGCGCTTCCACTGAAATACCTTTTCCCCGAGTCACAAGAGCTTGGCGAGCGCGACGCGCCTTTGGTCTCGTTTGATTCATTTGCGACCTCCACGCGCCAGCAGGCCGAGCTCGCGATCGGTCACGCCTCACGCCACAGGCTTGGTAGCATTTCAAAGGCGCGGTTATTCTTGCTAAGAGCTGGGTACCGTGTTGCAGTGAGAAATGCAACAGAACTGCTCTTCAAAAGTATTTTCATCGCCCTATTAAATTCTTTTGCGTAATACTGTTCGGTTATAACAACGGATCGGACTTTTATGCATAAGTGTATTTCTTCTGCTTAGTCGTAGAAGTCTCGAGTTAGGTTTTCTTTTCGAATGTGGGTCCCTAGATGCTTATGTCAAAGTTTTATTTTGCATATTTTTGTGTATTTGTTCGATGCTTTATAAAATCGCGTATTTCTGGGTTATGCTAAAGTTTGTTGTATATTTTATGATCAACAATGAATAAAATAGCAAATTTCAAGGATTTATTATTAACCTCGTTTGGGTTGTTTCTTCTGTAGGTAAAAGTCTGTTAATACTGGATGTTGAGTTATTCAGATTAAGGCTTCTTGAGGTAATTTATTTTTTATTTATCCCCCTTGAATCCTATAACCTGCGTTGTAAAAGAACGATTCGCACAATTCAATTACAAAAGTACTATATGAAAAGTACTGAACGAGAAGCGGTCGATATCACAAGTTAATTATTGACCAAATATCTGGGCATACCAAATTATTTCGTATGACGGAAAACGGTATTTTATGAGGTATAGTGGGAAACCGTATTTTACGGAGAAACAAGGAACTTAAGTGCCCAAATGCTCCCTCATCAACTGATGTCACTGAGGTGCTTGAGACCGGGAGGTCATGGGGATACACTTCCGGCGGAGCGGTACGATTTGTGACTCTAGAAAAGTCAAATTCACCGTATATCTCAAGGAGAATTGTAACAGTTGGCTGCTCTGCTGTGCCAGGCTGTTGGGAGATTACTGTTCGGTGAAAATCCGGCAAGCCGACGTGAACATAGGTCGGCTCCAGATCTCGCCATCCAGCAGCGTAAGCTCAGCCACCTCCGGCGATAAAAACACACTACACTTACGGGACTAATGAAATCGGTCGGTAAATTCATATCTCAAAACCCAGTAACAAAATACTCGAGAGGGCGAGGTTTGGATAACAGAATTCTGCGTGCGTAAATAAAGGGAAAGTAGACTATGCCAAAGCAAAGAGAAGAGAAGAGAATAGAAAGGAGATGAGGCTGACCTTTCATCTCGGCCAGCAGCTGGTCCAGCGCCTGCTCGGACCAGCGCGTCTCGCGCGTGCACAGCACGTAGGGCTTGGGCGGCAGCGCGTGGCGTCGGAAGTCGAAGGCCGGCTCAGCCTCTGGCGGCGCGTGCTCCAGCATCTCCAGCCCTGCCCAGCCACAGACACACCGCTGCACTCGACGCCGCTTTTCGACATGCAGTAGCCGGGCTAAATGAGGGTACGGTCTGTTCCGATTATCACAAAAAATGTACCGTGCATATACAAATACATCTCTACCAGACACATTCATGTATACCATGGGCGTTAACTGGTTATAATGATCTCGGACGACAAAAAGCTTTCGGACCAAATATCGTTTTTTTTGTCGCCACTCGATCATTAGAAAAGTGCCCTTGGTACATAAATAACCATTTTCAGGTACAGAATGAAATGGCAAATTTGTGATTAGACGAAAGAAGTGAAAATAAGGTCGTCGTGTTTCAGAGTAATTGCGCGCCTCCTGCAACATGTAGTGCGCGTGTGCGGGGAGGGAGAGACCTTGCAGGCGCTGGGTGGCGGTGCAGGGCACGTCGATGACCTCGTGGCGCTGCGACGGGTCGGCGCCGAAGCGCGCCAGCGGCCCGTACAGCTGCGACGCCAGGTCCGCGTGCGCCTCGATGGGCGGCAGCCGCTTGTACCGCCGCGGGAAACCCTGGTGCGCCTCCGACAGTTTGCGCAGCTCTGCAGCACGCCATGCGCACGCGCACAGGCGCCTCAGCACGCGGGACGAGACCGGAGCAAGGGCTACATCGCGGGGAGGTTCGGGGGATACAGGTGCGGCTAGACATTCTGATCGGCGATGTGACATTGCTCGTCTCGGTCCCCATAAAGGGTTTGGAGTGGATGCTCGAGACGAGCCTTCGGACTACCTCGGGCTCGAACGAAAGCACTGAGAGCGATACACTACCAAGGGCTACACCGGCGAGAGGTTCCGAGGATGAAGTGGGTGCTGTGCGCTGTGTAGGATCGCCAAGGATTCCTCAATGGGTCTGAGGACTACTGGGGGGGGGGCGCTCGAGGTGAGCCCTCGGACAACCTTAGGCAACAGACGACAGCACGCGTACCAAGTCGGAGCCAAGAGCTACATCGGCATATATGCCTTTACAAATCATGAACACACATCAGGGAGATCGGATAACGGAAAACCGGATAAGGCAAGCCATTCTGTAAAGAAACGAGGATCGCACACGTTTGAGATAAATCTTTTCGCGCAGCGAGTCGTCTAGAGAAATGATAAAAGACATCATGTCTTGTCATCACTGCTTTTGTCAACTGTCTAACAATTATCTGCACCCTGAATTTATGAAATGTCAATTGACCAATTCATTAATGATTTCTAATAAAGCAATAACGATAGTTATTAATTTTATTATATGTTTATTTTCCATTTATGCAAGAATTTGAATTTTTTAAATTTACCCGAAAACTATTGTTATTAAAAATTATATTTATAAAATCGTACAACGAAAGTTACAAAAGTCCAAAACGATGCATGTTCAAATTGAATGCAAGGCAAAAAACTGATTAAAAACATAGGTAAATTTTGTGTTTCGTTATATTGTGTATATGTTCAGCAAATAAGACAAATTTCAACCCATGGAGACCATAAAATCAAAGATATAGTGCAAAGTAAAAATTTACACTTTATAGTGTCGATTTGAACGATATACGGCTTTGTCTCGTTAAAAGAAGTAACCTGCAGAATTTCGATGTAAATAAAAAAAGACAATACTTCAGATTTCGGCTCCCACAATTATGTAACAACTTTTTAAATATGAACAAAGGAAAGTATATGGCGTTCAACATTTTTAATAACAACTGATTGGTAATAAAGCAATAACTATATTATTTATTTTATAATTATTTATTTTGCATGTTTGTTTTCTAAAAAATCAAAATGAGGCAATATAATCTTTAGTCGTAATGCAAATCTTGTTCACCAGCATTCAGGGTCCTCCTTTAATAGTTAACGATAACAAAAAGCAATACGATATTCGACACTTAAGATATAACTTCTCGAATATTATCGTTCAAAATGCAGTGATACAAAGTCTTCAACAAAGAAAGTTAAACGACTACCTCATTTACATACAAGATTTTCGTTATTTATGATTTTGGCTTAGGTGCTTATCGAAAAAGAAGTCGACATCGCGCACCAAACATTCAGATACAGAAGTCCAAAAAAGATCCTTTTTGGACGAGAGATCAAGTGTCTCGGACGAGGGAGAGTCGGTTTGAAGTTGCACTCAGAAGGACAAGGAAGAAATCAGCCGAAGCCATTCCGGGCGAAGAAGTGAAAATAATTGTCCTAAGGAAACATTAGTATCATGCATAAGCATTTGCTTCTTTCAAAAGTTAAATTTTGAATATTCTGACGAACGGCAGTCAGGAAATGTAAATGAATTGCCTTGCAACATTGTACATTTTTGACGTCTTTCTTACCAACATAGTAAATGAAGAGGTTGAATTAAAAGTCATTCAATTTTAAACACTACAGTTATAACACAAGAACTTGAACAGATGTGAATTTTATGCTATAATAATATTGTGTCAGAAACATGCTATTAAAATAGCCTTCGTAATCTGTAAAATAAGTAATCAAAAGCATTCATTTGATTTATTTGGAATGCTTGGCAGATTAATTAATACAACCTTTTGCAACGGCCTGCTTAGTCCATTCCCAAGGGCGATAAAAAATGACTCGGCAAGACGGGTCACGTGTTGGCGGGAAAATTTATCACCCCGATGCGAGTTCGGTGCGGTGGGCGCATAGAAGAGTCCTGAGTGTGACAGAATGAAAAGCAAACTCTTCGCACGAGTGGACAGCGCACAGCCGCCCCGCGAGCCCCGCTGCGCACGCACGCGGCCGGGCCGCGCGGGGCGGGGCGGGCGAGGCGACCGGCGGTGAGGAGGGGAGGACAATGACTAATGAAGGCCGGTGCGGACGCGGCGGGCGCTGTCGAGTGCCGACGCTCAATCCACGCGAATCCACGCGAATCCAGCGCCAGAGGACTCATTCCTGTTTCCGAGCCCTGGAACTACTATGGTCGGCAGCCCCGTCAGAGCACAGCACGTACCGACAAATGTGGCTCAGGGCATCAACTGATCTCACTGCAGCTCCTGTGACCTGTAGGTCCTAGGGTTCCATTTCCGACGGTCCCTGGATTTTCGACACTAGCTAGACAGCTGGGTTGAATTTAACTGCTGTCTGGAGGAGAATTCTAGCAGCCGGCTACTCCGATCGGTAGTTTTGATTGGTTTTTGCGATCAATACCAAGAGAATATCGAAGCAGAATCCTAACAAACGGACCGTGCGCGATAATTTCTTTCTCTTCCTTGTCCTATTCTCACCCTTACGTACACACACACACACACACACACAGTACTTATCACACATGGCACGAGATCGTTCGGGAGCATGGAGCTTGTTGCGGCTGGGGTACCCAGTGCCCCGCCGGGAGGCGATAACTGGTTGGGGAAAAGTTTGCAAGCCAACGAATAGATCGGCGCCGTATCTCACCATGAAGGGGGATATCATTGCCTCCACTTCCAGCGATAAAAAACGTGCACTTTACATACAAGATTAATGACATTAATTGACGCGACTGGAATCTCTCATCAACCAATCAATACTGCATGCTACGACTATTATGTTCCTCCCTCACACAAAGTTCGGCGCAGTTACAATCTCGGCTTAAGGCCCTTCCCACTCCAGTTATCTTTACTAGCAGGGCACTCTCCTAGCCAGGACGAGATGTTTGCTCCCGATGGGTCTCGGGTCATGTGTGTTGGTATAGTTCGTGTAAGAGAGAAAGAGAGAGAGAAAGAGAGTGAAAGAGAAAGAGAGAGAAAGAGAGAGAGAAAGAGATAGAGAAAGGGAGAGAGAAAGGGAGAGAGAAAGGGAGAGAGAAAGGGAGAGAGAAAGGGAGAGAGAAAGGGAGTGAGAAAGGAGAGAGAAAGGAGAGAGAAAGGGAGAGAGAAAGGAGAGAGAAAGGGAGAGAGAAAGGGAGAGGGAAAGAAAGAGAGGGAGAAATGAAAAACCCCACGTGGTCCGTGGTAATTTGATTCGCCTGCAATTGATCCGAGAAATCACGGACCACTGCTTATCTACAATAGAATATTCCACCAGATTGCAGTCGCATTCGACCTAGATCTTTCGACTAGCGTTCATCCTCCTTCAGATTTCACTAGAGAGACCACGGTGATGCTGCCGCTGCGCCACCAAGGCTTGTATGCATATGGCGGGAGTGAAGGCGTCGCCCTCGCAGGGTGACGAGCGCGGAAGGACAATTCATTTGCGGAGGACGGGCTGAAAAAGCTCTGCGCGGCAGCTCGGGCGCGTTCGAATTTAATCCGTTGCGCACACAGTGCGGCGCCGCAAAAATCCTAGGCTTTACACACACTATTGTGTCGCCTTGTTTATGAAGTGGGTTTCCGTATACGACGCGATCGTGAACTGAAATCAGGCGAGACCCTGATGCAAGCGCACCAAAGTGAACGAATTAAAACAAATTCACTTCGGGCATTTTTTGATTGAATACATTTTTGGGGGGTCTTTCAGAAATGATGAAACTGAACTTTAACCCAAAACAATATTATGTCACGGAATTATGGATTAACAAATTATCTTCTCGTAGAATCTGTCTGTATGTCGAATATTAATTGACTGTGACTCTAAATACTGGATCAAGCTACTGGCGATAAAATGAGGATTTATGAAATATGCAAACATTTTTGGATCTTCATTTGAAATCAATGAAGCATATGTAGAATTCAGCGCGCGGAATGTCAAGTCTTTCTTGAAATCTGTTGAAAATGGTTCTTCTAAGAACCTCTAAGAACAGTCCTTAAAATGACATACACATTTACTTTTCACCGCACGATTCCTCCGCTGTAGCTTGTCTGAGGGTGAACGAGTTATTGTGACCTGGTTATTGGTCTATGAAAAGTTTTTTCAATATTTTCACGGCGTTTGGGAACAATCTTTCACACTCTTGAGCAGGTATGAAAGCTACTAGCCTTCACGGAAAGGAAGAAATGAATTGTGTGCCGCGCTCGCGCTTAAGCCTGATCTTTCTGACTCTTGGCGCATGTTTGTTAGTGGAAAGCTAGACTCATTGCCGGAAAGGCTCTAGGAAGATGAAAACATTTGTTAGAACAGGATACAGTAGTGGGAAACTCCTCAGAAAATACTATTTGATTACGGATCTAAGTTTACTAGTAAAATGGAGAACATAATTTAATAATTTAGGAATTAAAACCTTTTTCTTCAGTAAGACATCCTAAACCGAATACGTCGGGAAGGTTAACGAGAGATATTTTGAAGATATGAAGAGTTTATATTGCTGAAAAAGATCATGCTAGTTTTGATTTAATAATTGTTAAGTATTAATAAATATGTGTCTTAATTAATTGTATATTCGAAATCATCATACGGGAACGTTGTGTGCTGACTGCGGTCGCGCTTGCGTCGGTTCTTCCTGACCTTGCGGTCCTTGCGGCATGATTGATAATGGATGGCACAAAAGGTTGAAGGAAATGGGGTGCAAGTGCAGCAAAGCAGGACACATCGCTGGAAAGGCTTAAGAATGGTGAAAACGAAGTGCACAGTTGTGGGAATTTCTCCAAAAAATAATATCAGATCACGGGTCTCAATTTACTAGTAAAAATGTGGGACAGAACATTTTTCTTCAATAAGACACCTGGAATCGAATTTGTTGGGATAGTTAATGAGGAATATTTCGAATACATGAAAAGTTATTTTGACGAAGAAAAGGGAATTAATTGTATATACCATGTGAGACTCCGTGTGTGTTGTGTGTTCTCACCACGGTGGCGCTTAGCCGAAACTGCCCAATCTTATTAGTGGAAATCCGTAAACAATGGAGAATACATGTCGGTTTGATAGTAAAGATGGACTCTTGCGGGAAAAGAAGGAAAACGTGTGCGCTCACCGCGGTCGCGCTTGAGCCGTATCTGCCCGATCTTGCGGTCCTTGGCACGCTCCCCGCGCGCCCACGCGCGCGCCAGGCGCGTCTCCAGGCGGTGGTCGGCGCGCGCGCGGTGCTCCGCCAGCAGCAGGCGCGCCAGGCGCATGCGCTCGCGGTGGTTCGCCTCGATCTCGCGCTCGCGCATCAGCCACTGGTCGCGGTCCAGGCGCGCGAACGCCCGCCGCCACGCGTCCTCCTCCGCGTCCGTCTGCGGCGGCCGCATCTTCTCCTCCCACGCGCGCCGCACGCGCATGCGCTCGATCAGGTCCACCTCCAGCCACCCGGCCGGCAGCCCGTTCGCTGCAGCACACACAGCCTCTGCTATGGCACACATGGGAAAAGAACAGGCGGTCTATGCGCGTCATCGGTCCACCTCAGCCACCCGGCCCGGCAGCCCGTTCGCTGCAGCACACACAGCCTCTGCGTTGGGCACACATTACAAAACAGGGTGCTATTGTGCGCTCCATCAGGTCCACCTCCAGCCACCCCGGCCGCAGCCCGTTCGCTGAGCACACACCGCCTTAGCGGTGGCAGACATTGGACAACAACAGGGTGCTATGCGCTCCATTAGGTCCACCGTCCAGGCCCCCGGCCGGCACCCGTTCGCTGCAGCACACACAGCTCTGCAGGATGGCACACATTGGAGCCAAACAACAGGGTGCTATGCGCTCCATCAGGTCCACCTCCAGCCACCCGGCCGCAGGCCGTTGTTCGCTGCAGCACACACAGCCTCTGCTAGGCACACATTGGACAACAACAGGGTGCTATGCGCCTCCATTCAGGTCCACTCCAGCACACCCGGCCCGGCAGCCGTTCGCTGCAGCACACACACCTCTGCTATGGCACACATTGGACAACAACAGGGCTGCTATGCGCTCCTCAGGTCCACTCCAGCCAACCCGGCCGGCAGCCCGTTCGCTGGCAGCACCAAAGCTCTTGCCTATGGCACACATTGGACAACAACAGGTGCTATGCGCTCGAGTCAGGTCCACCTCCAGCCACCCGCGGCAGCCCCGTCGCGCCGACACACAGCCTCTGCTATTGGCACACATTGGACAAAACAGGGTGCTATTGCGCTCCGATCAGGTCCACCTGCCACCACCGGCCCGGCAGCCGTTTCGCTGGCAGGCACACACAGCCCTCTGCTATGGCACACATTGGACAACAAACAGGGTGCTATGCGCTCCATCAAGGTCACCTCCAGCCACCGCGGCACCCGTTCCTGCAGCACACAAAGCTCTGCTTGGCACACATTGGGACAAACACAGGGTGCTTATGCGCTTCACAGGTCCACCTCCAGCCACCCGGCCCGGCAGCCTTCGCTGGAGCAACACAGCCTCGTGCTATGCGCACACATTGGGATACAATGACAGGGTGCTTATTGCGCTCAGCAGGTCCACCTCCGCCTACCCGGCGCAGCCGTTCGCTGCAGCACACACAGCCTCTGCTATGGCACACATTGGAAAGAACAGGGTGCTATGGCGCTCCATCAGGTCCACCCTCGCCACCCGGCCGGCAGACCGTTCGCTGGAGCACACACAGCCTCTGCTATGACACATTGGAAAAAACAGGGTGCTATGCGCTCCATCAGGTCCAACCTCCAGCCACCCGGCGGCAGCCGTTCGCTGAGCAACACAGCCTCTGCTATGGCACACATTGGAAAAGAACAGGGTGCTATGCGCTCCATCAGGTCCACCTCCAGCCACCCGGCCGGCAGCCCGTTCGCTGGAGCACACACAGCCTCTGCTATGGCACACATTGGACACAACAGGTGCTATGCGCTCCAGCAGGCCACCTCCAGCCACCCGGCCGGCAGCGCCGTTCGCTGAGCAACCCCAGCCTTCTGCTGGCACACATTGGACAAGAACAGGTTGCTATGCGCTCCATCAGGTCCACCTCCAGCCACCCGGCCGGCAGCCGTTCGCTGCAGCCACACACAGCCTCTGCTATGGCACACATTGGACAAAACAGGGTGCTATGCGCTCCATCAGGTCCACCTCCAGCCCCCCGGCGGCAGGCCGTTCGCTGCAGCACACACAGCCTCTGCTATGGCACACATGTTGGACAACCACAGGGTGCTATGCGCTCCATCAGGTCCACCTCCAGCCACCCGGCCGGCAGCCGGTCGCTGGGCACACACAGCCTTAGCGGTGGCACACATTGGACAACAACAGGGTGCTAATGCGCTCCATCAGGTCACCTCCAGCACCCGGCCGGCAGCCCGTTCGCTGTGAGACACACAGCCCTTTAGCGGTGGCAACATTGACAACAACAGGGTGCTATGCGCTCCATCAGGTCCACCTCCAGCCACCCGGCCGGCAGCCCGTTCGCTGGAGAACAAGCAGACTTGGCGATGATATACATTGGACCATAACTGGGTGCAATGGGCTTGATCAGGACTACCTGAATCTACCAGGCCCCGGTTAGGCACACAGAGCACTTGCATTGTCCCTCTCGGAAAGAAACTGTTGAAAAAACATTCCGGTAGCTTGCAAAAGTTTGCAAAGGCGCGGGACACTTGCAATTGACACTTGTAAAGACCAAAATCACACTTGTAAAGACCAACACCAAGAACACTGTTGCATGCGCTACATCAGTTCTTCCACCAGCCAACCGCTGGCTTTACACTTAGTGCACTTAAGTTGCAATGGGAAATTTGCATAGGCAGGGCTACAATGGAACATTTGTTAAATAACCCTTCAAAAGGCCAATACCGTGAGAACAAAATAGGGTCTCATGCGCCCCAGGTCCACCGTGCACTTAGCATCCGTTCGGCATCCCGCTCGCTTCGAACATAGCGCCTTAGCCACTGAAACGGCAGAATCAAGGTACGCACACACACACACACACACACACACACACACACACACACACACACACTCGCAAGCCTATATAAGGACGGCGTGCTCTCCATGATATCCATGTCCAGCCACCATGCAGATATTCCGTTCCAGTAAGCACACAGCGTACTTGGAGTGTTGCATTTGCAAACTAATGACCATATGAGTCGAGGCACGTGACTCACCCCAGGAGAGCGCGGCGAGCGTGAGCACCTCGGGCTGGTGGCCGGGGCCGATCTCGTAGGGCGGCTGCCACGGCGCAGTCTGCGTCTCCGCCTCGCGGTAGTCCGTCTGCGTGCCCTTGTGGCGCGCCGAGCACGGCCCGCGCCGCCGCGGCGACGGCGTCTGCACCAATTAGGGATGCGATATCCACCTTTTTATAAAATCTTTGACAGCCGATTTCTTTCAAAAGAGATGTTTTGTGGTCCGTGCTTTTACGTGGGCGGTGTTTATATAAAATCATCATTAATTGACATCTGTTTTTTTTAAACCAAAGCTTTTTTAACATTAATGTTTAGTATCCGGTGTTTTTACGTGGTCGATTTTTAAAAAACACGGATGTTTTTAAAATATTATCTATGTATTTAACATTGATTTTGTGTAGACGATCATTTTTAACATCCATACTCTGTGTTGCATGTTTTTACAAAGTCGATATTCAAAATTATGATGTTTTTGTAAAGTCATCGATATATTTAACATATATTTGTTGAAGACAATGGTTTTTTAACATTAATGTTTTGCGGTAGATGTATTTAGATGGCCGACATTATTAACTGGAAAAAATCCATAATAGTAAAATTCTATTATAATTTTCAAATATATAGGAGTCTTCTTCACATCACTTTTGTCATGAAGAGGACAATTGTATTTTGATTTTTCGAACATTATTATCCATGTGCTTTAAAAATTGTTTTGATGGATTTTGTGATCTAAGTTTTGTCAATTCAATCTCAATTAAAAATTAATAAGAGAAACAATTTTGAAATTAAATCCTCCCCACACGAAATTCAGTAGTCACATATCTAGTTTAATAACATCTAGTTTATTAACATCAATGTTTTAATTTTCAGCATCGATGGTTCTAAACATAGATGTGTTGTCAATGTCGCACCCCTAGTTAAAATTGTATTTCAACACATACTCAACACTCGAAACAGGAAAGTTGAAAATATTTCTTCTAATATGCTAATACTTCTTCTAATATACTAATATTTCGGAACACCGGTTTTTCGTGGAGAATGGAACGCTTAGTCCTTAACGAGTGAAAGAAAAAAAATTACAGAAAAAGTAATTGTCTATGAGTTATCGAATATTAGATTGTGATGCTTCATTTGTAATTAAGACAATCGAACATTAAAGAAGCCAGAAATGTTTATTAAGTCGAGTTTTTCAAATTCACATTTCACACACTTATTAATTACTATTGTTAACTTAACAAATATAATCACCATTGACGTTTTAAGGTTTGGGGAAGTTTTAACTTTCATAAATAAATCTGTTCTGGATTTCCGAAATGTATTTGAATTTGAAAAAAACCTTATAGTTTAGTAAACCATTTATGGCTTCCATGTCTTAATTTCCTGAACTGAACGTAAATGAACCATTCCAATCCAATTTAACGAGATGAAAAGTTAAATTGACTGTTGACGTCGGTCTTAAAGAGTTTTATTAGAAAATAGAAAAGGGAATATTACACGAAATTTAAAACAAGTCTCTAGTATGAATGTTCTGTGAGATAACTGTGACGCATTCTGAATTTTGGAAGCATTTCTGTGATTTAATCGACGATCAACCTTTGTAAGTATATTTAGCAATATTTTGTCTCAGAATAGTTGCTGGTATCTCAATAGAAGATTATCACTTCTTGCCAATGAACATGAGAACATGAGAAAACTCATTTAACCAAGATACTATGACATTTAACTAGATCTGTGACATTTGCCGCCGACTGGTAGACAACTACAAATCGCATTGATGTTAGTGTACACGAAATTTCTTTGCCTAATAGCAGTGCCCTGTAAGTTGCTGTCTCATCAGGGATAAATTCCACATGCGTAACGTGCTGGATGAGAATTACCACCTTGTATTCAGAGGTAAAAAGTGATGATATTCGAATCCCACATTTCCTACAGGCTTTTGCTCGTGTATGGAACTTGCTTGTACATGGAATGCTCGTTGAGTTTCACATCCCCTAGAAGTTTGCAACATTCTCTAGAAGTTTGCAACGCCCCGTAGAAGTTTGTAACTTTTATTCTGAACCTCTTGCACATACATGAAATACTTATCGAGTCTCACATGCCTTAGAAGTTTGTAATGGTTATTCTGACTCACTTGCTGAAACATGAACCTCGTACATGGAAACCCCTAATGATGTTTATTAAGGTTTGTTCTGAACCACTTGGTTGCAAGCGATTGGTCGTGGAAGCACCTGCGAGAGCGGCGTGCGCGAGTTGAGCGGGAGGCCGCGCAGCGCGTCGGGCACGCCGGGCGGCGGGGCGCCCAGGCGCACGGGCGGCACCACGGGCGCCAGCAGCGCCGCCACCGGCCGCCGGAACAACCCGGCCCTTGCGCCGCCTGCCGCGCCCGGCTGCGCGCTCGGCTGGGCCTGCGTCGGCACCAGCGCCTGCGCCTGCACCGGCCTGTGACACACACACGCACACACACACACGAGCTGCCACTCAGAAGCATCGGTACAGTACATTTAGCAAACACTTTGAACCATTGTCTTCTGCCAGACGCAACCCGCTTGACGCTTAATGCGCTCCGTACACCCACTACTGCAGTGATCTTCCAGGGTCTTGTGGGTCTTGATACCGACAAATCGATTGACGACAAAATGCCTGTCTGTCCGTTCGTCCATCTGCCATCAAACCTAGCGTCATAACAGTTTAGCCGATTGTTGATACGAGTTCGATCAAATTTGAAGGATTTCAAGACGATTTTTGTTGAGGGTACTTTACAAGAAGCATTAACAAGACCTTCAAAATGTTCACAAAAATGACTACAAAGTTTTTAATTAAACCTTGTCCTAGGGTGACATAAAGAAAGCTTACGAGAATAGTGCAGGTCTCATTTCCGTTGAAATCCCTGATTGTTTGAGAATTCAAAAAGTTCCTTTTTTAGTCATCTTCCTACAATATAAACGATAGAGCCTTTTCTTAACGAAAAATGTTTGGCGCTATTCTAGCACAAAATGCGGGCCCTGGACTCGAGGGCGGCTCGAGGGCTGCCTGCCCAAGAGGCGGCGGGGCGCACCGCCGCGGCGCTGCTGAATAACCAATTCCACAAAACGCAGAGCGAGCAGCGACTGCAATTTCCTGTCCTAATTATGCATTAGTGGCGTTTCATATGTAATGGATATGAAAAAGTTTAACTCCAGCGGAAGTAATGAGTGTGGGGAGCGGTCCTCTGTGGTTTAATGGTCCGTGAGCCGACAGAGGCCGTGATAGACGGGCGTTTTGTGCAATCTCTGTGGCCGGTAGAGTGCGGTGCCAGGGGCTCGGGCGAGCCAGAGGCACAAAAGTGCGAAATTAAAATATTTAGGTTTAGATTTAACTATGTAAATACCCTCGCGTTGGCCATGTATTTATTAACCGCAATCAATCAGCGTGAAACTAATGGTGCGGCAACTTTCTGGTATTATTAATAAATTTGCAATTTTCGAAAATTCAAAGAGTTTAACGATACTGAGAATTGCATCATTCTTTTAAACGTTGTAATAATTCTAATTGTTCTAATCGTAAAACAAAATTGAATAATTATAGCGGGGCTGTTTTGAGTAAAAAAATTGCTTTAATTTTAAGCCGTTATTTCAAAGAATTGTAAACGATCTTTTTAAAATTCTGATTCTTCGAAACAGATTTCATTTCACACTAACATCTCTATCTTCATAATTGTAGAAATAACCAACAGTACCGAACAGAACAGAGTTCAAGGGCAGGTAGAAAGTCCCAAGTAGACCACCATGAAATACTTAAAAGAAGCAGAGGAAAAAGAGAAGGGAGAGAATGAAAAGGACCGGCAAATAACGATGCGGTGTCAATCGACAAACTCCTCATTCTGGAGGTCGAAGCGTAGAAGAAAGTGACGTATTTCTGAAGTTTTCAGAAATTGCAAAATAAGTCGTTGAGCGATCACGTGAAGGCTAGACTGACTCTTGAGTAGTGTCGATTTCTCAGGCAAGTGACGTATTTTATTCTTTTGAATGTCATTAACAAATAAAATATTTGCTTCAGGATTGATACAACGCATTAAGAGACAACATAATATTGATATGTATCGAGCCAAGTTTCACCGTTCTTGCTGAAATATTAAGAAAGCTATGCAATGTCAAAAATATTATATTTTTAACAATATTTTTCGTCAATATTGCCGCACTGTGTGATAATATAAATATTATTGATATTAGTTTCATTGAATGGGGCAAAAAAGCTGCGCATACAAGCTCATTTTCATTTGTTTGGCGATAATTGAGAAGGAAATATTGTATCCCAAAGTAGCAAAAATCGCGTGATTGTACTGTACAACGATGCTACACTACACTCTGTCAATGAAATCTCTCACGTTATATCTCAAAAACCAATTCAGCTACAACTTTACAAAAGTTTCTTTGTGACGTGAAGAACTGAGAAGACAATTTCATCAACATACAAGATGGTCACGTGGAGAGCCACTTCAAATGGAATGACTCAAATAGAATTTTTTTAGACACCCTGTGACAAAAGCGGTGCTTTTAGGGATTGCATAACGTGGCAAAAATTCAAATTGTTACATTAGTGCTAAAAGTGAAACTAGGATCAAACCTTCAGCTAAATCTGTGAATATAACAAAGAAAACAAAATATTTTTGTGTGACTGCATCAGCTTCTGCTGGCCTTAATGCCAGCTGTAGCTTGTTAAGGCCAGTAGTAGTTCAATCATATTGCCAGCCAGGCCTGACATACGACGGCCGGTCGCCCTCGCCCCACAGCCGTGAAGCTACAGATTGTCAGAGTGCACCGCCGACCATAGAGACGAAACCCTTAGTGCCTGATGAAACAACCGTGCGCATGCCCCCGACGGGCAGACATTGGGTGAGTGTGTGCGTGTGTATGTGTGCGTGGAAAACAGCAACTGTAACAGTGACTCTCAAGAGTCAATGCAAGTTTCACTCTCAAACTATAAAAACCTCAATGTTAGTATGTACGTTCCAAAGCTTTGTAAATAATGTAAATAAGTAGCATAAAATTGCAAATAGTAGATTGTAAAATTAGTGTAAGTTTTGGTTTAAGATCTAGGTTAGCGTCTCCCCCCCCCCCACATAACTGTATAAATAATATAAATAAATGCCATTATATTTGTACACTTGAATAAAAATAAATTGAAAGTCAGCATGGATGTCTAAAAATTACAAGTTTGACACACGTGTTTACCCACGTTTGACACACGTGGTAAAAGCGATTTTATTTTGCTCGTAGGATTGCGCTACGTGTACCAACGTTTCCTTCTTACAAAGGGAAGCCAGCATCGTGTCACAACTTTCCCTTCTCACAAAATAAATTGTCACTTTTACCACTCGTATCATAAATTTCTATTATTGCTTCGCCGCTTGCCTATTCTTATTTGTTATTTCTAATTTCCAATGCGCGCAGAAATTGAAAGAAAAATGTCAGCCTCCGGCCATGTGAGAAGTATTGTCAGTAACACAGGAAAACTGTAAAAATCGAAAACAAAAAGAAACAGTTTCGATTTTGACCAAAAAGTGCAAACGATTGATTGTTTTATTCCGACTATTTTCATACTGCGCGTACCGACGGAATTTCATTCTTTGCATCACTGTTTAGGACCCAACCTTCATGCGACAGGAAAGCTCCAAAGTAAAAGTAGCCCACATTTAAACATTTGATTATCATGGGTTATATTATCGAAACTTTTTTGATTTTCTTGGTATATAAAAAACTGTTCTGGAAGGCCGAGGCGGCTAGCGACTCAGCGCCTCGGCCCGTAGGGTCGCCGGTTTGAGTCCCCGTGTGCACAATTGTTGTCGTTTGTCTTTCCATGTGTGTTGCCGCGGAAGGCATTGTGAGTCTGCTAACCACACACCGAGGAGCCCACAAGTATGTCCAGCGTAAAACGGTTAATATGTGTCTCCATGAGAGACATAGTGAGTACCCGGCGTAGATAGTTGAAATCGACATTTCCTGAAGCTGCAATCTCCCCCGCCCCCCGGAAAACTCTATTTATACTGTATTATGCCATTGCAATATTCATAAAGGCTGTTACTTTTAAACTATTTAATTTGCTTTATAAGAACGGATTTTATTTGTTCATGAATAGTGTGCATGCTACGTTTTGGAAAACCTTATTGTGGCTTTCTTCTGTGGCAGGTTTTGTTCATTGCTGCATGTAGCTAGTTTTTGTTGATTTGTCTTTCCATCTTGGCGTTGTCTTTCTCATGTTTTATCGTTATCTCCTTTACGCGTCCCTCTATTCAATTCTTTGTTTGAGCTCATCCACGGAAGTTCAACGCACGAGTACACAGAATTCTTTTCTTTAGCGACAATTTCCTTATACTGGCTCAAAGTCCAAAGGAAATTCGCCGTTGTACAGACGCTGTTACAAACGCTTGTCATACCTAACGTATGCTTTGAAATGTTGTTAGCATTATAACAAGAAGTGCCGTGGTATAATGAATAGAACATCCATATTTAGATTTCCGGTACTGATATTTGAAATGCAAGTCATACATTGACGATGGAACAAAAGATCTTCCAGATGCTTTTTTATTCTATCATATACAAACACACACAACGCCTCCTAATTGAATAACATGAGGAAGTTTAACAAACGCAAAAAGATGCAAACGAAATTAAAAAAATGGCTATCTCCAACGAAATGGCAATTAATTGTTCTAAAATCCAGGTAGGTAACCCTTGTTAACATAACACCTAGGTTAAAATAACACAAAGTCATTTAAGCAAATTCACATTTGCCAGGCATATTACATTCGTTTATCCATTTTGAGAAACATTCGTGCCGCATAGAAAAAAGGGCAATGCTTCAGGCAGGCGAAATTCAGAGACGAATCTAGAAACCACCATGGCAGGTATGATCATTCTAAATGATTATGACAAGAAGTAATGATTATGATGTATGACAAAAATATCGAAAGAAGCAAAAAAGACAACGTTACAAAAAATTCATTCTCGAATACAATGACTAATGACGTACGCTCGGTAATCCTTTACTTCTTTCCTCGATTTCTCCCGATATTTAAAAGTATGTTACGTCAACGTAGTTATATTACGAAATATAATTAATTTTTAATTACTGTTTATTATATATATATATATATATATATATATATATATATATATATATATATATATTGTGAATAAGTGTAAATATAGGAAGAATAGTGATGTGTTGTGATCAGTATTAGCACTGAGTAATTGAAAAGAAACGAAATGAGATACTAAATGATATGAAATGCAAATAACATTATGTAGTCCATTGAAAAGAATTGTGAATCTAACAATTTTGAATTTATGATTACTCCTGTTACTTAGTACTCGTAACAAGAGCTCAACATACAATTTACTGAGCGAAACATTTTCTAATTCATATGCGACAAGGAGACAGAGGAGGGAAAGTTAAAAAAA